CGAGCCGTTATTTGTTTTGGCTCTCATTTTGCACAGGATGGTAAGTTAACCAGGCAATGATAGAGGAGTAATGCTGCTGTTAATAGGGGGAATATCCAGATTTATGTAAAAAGCGCAAGCAACTGTGCATAAGCGTTGCCAGTGACTTCAGTATACGGCTATGATCAGAGGGAAACCTGGATTACCCCAGTCTCGCGCCGAGTTTCCGTCTTTTGTGCTTGAAGCGTTGAGTTTAATGTCCTGTAATGTGCATGTTATACCTTTCCTGCTCAATTTAAACGTCACGCTCAATGGCCGATTATATAATTGGCAGCAGCATTTAGGGTCAAAATATTATGTGGGAGAATTTCTTACAAACTAGCACCACTGAAGAGAGCTTGACTCAAGATAATAATACTTAGTGTCGTCAGGCCTTAATACCAAAAGTTGAAACGGCTTTAAAGAGAGAATGGGCAAAGTAGTTAGGTCCTCTTGGAATTCAGAACAAAGCTACATTAAATACTGCGCGTATCTATTCCTGTGTACCGTCGTGTGCGTGCGTCAAGCTGCCAGGGCTTCCAAGGCAACGGTAATTTCATTCACAGCTCCAGCTTGATAATCGAGTTCGTTTAGTGATTACAAACGACGTTTATCACAATGAAATTTTGGCACCACGCAATCAGGAAACGGTTGCTCTAGGGCGTGACTGAATTGCTGACCCTGAATGGGCTTTGGAATGGTTATTAGTCCTGAATATAGATGCGTAAGGCAAACGAAGAAGCATCGATTTTTGAAAAGCGGGTAGGCGCAGGTTGGTGGATAAAACACGCAAATGGACTGTGAGTGATCGTTGATTCGACCCAGACTCAAATCAAAAGTTTTTGGCCGGAGAGTTCCATTATCCCGACTCGCGTTGATAAAGATTTTTCCCAATCATTAAATTGGTTAATATGTCAAACAATTCAAACTGTTTGGCATATTATCGAGGAGCATTAGCTCAACCCTACTCACAGGTATAACATTCTTTCCACTTACCGAAAAAGGCCGTTGCGTGAGGAAGTCTTTTTACCAGTGCTGCATTGTGAAAACATGGTTCTACGCGGCTGTATTTAGTCAGCCGTGGAGAGAAAACTATTCAACCGCCAAAATTCAACAGGAACAACTGTCTAGCACGTGGTAGGTGGGGCTAGTCTGCCGTTTTTACGAACAGTGATGAGAGATGCACCCAGCCGGACTCCTTCGTTGAGCACGTCGAGTGCTATAACCAGATATCATGACAAGGCTTGAGTAATCTTTTCTTAGAAGACAATAGAAGAAAACTGTGGGGAGGCAAGATTTTCTTAGGGTATACCTAAATTGTGAACAATCTAGGATCTCGCCGGCTTAGCAAGCCTCCAAAAGCACTACTTATTACTTCCAAATAAACCGAAGTCAAAA